GGAGGAGGAGGAGGAGGAGGAGGAGGAGGAGGATGATGAGGAGGCGCAGCGGCCTGGCCTGGGTCGCGAGCGCCCCAGGAGGGCTCCAAGAGGCCTTTCAGACGGTCCCAAAGCGCCCCAGGTCGGCGAGTGATCGGTCCAAGACGCTCTAGATGGCCCCCAGACGGACCAAGAGGCCTCGAAGACAGCGCCTGAGGCCTTCAAGAGCACTCCCCAAAAGAACTCCAAGAAACAAAAGTCACCCCATTCTCTCGGGAAAACGTGCGTGTTGTGTTTAAGCAGATTCGATGCTGTTGGCCTTCACGGCGTCCAAGACAAAGAGACCTCCCAGATCACCCCAAGAAGGTCCAAGAGGCCCCCAAGAGGGTGACGAGACTCCCCACAAGGGCCCCAGGACGGCCCACGAAGCACCCGAGACGGCCCAGGAAAGCCCGCAGGGGGCCCTCACAGGGGTCCACGAGCGGGAACTCGAATTTCCATGTCGAGCCCTCCGCCCCAACGGGGCCCTCGAGACCGCCAGCAGGCCCCCAATCGGCCCCCCAAGGGGCGCCCCGGAGGCCCAACAGAGGCCCCTCAAGGGCCCCCGAGATGCCCCAAGAGTGCTCCAGACGGGCCCCAGTAGCTCTGGCCTCGGAACTCCTAGACGACCGCGCGCCGTAGCCGTCCCAACCCGACCATGGACCGAAGGGGAGTACGGCGACGGTAAGATAGTAAAACAATTTTTATAGAACACAGCATGTATGCATGTGTATACAGATGTGCTTACAATTAGGTACGGACGGGGAGGTAGGCCTTTTCGGTGTCACCCCCGCATACACGTATACACATCGGTACACACATATGTGTATATATACATATAAACACATACATACATATACCAATACATATGGCTAAATTCATATATATATATATATATATGAAAGGAACTCTAACTGAACACACGTCGGGTAAACTATCGGGACACGCAGGTGGCAGCAATCGAGGTAATCATCGGGACAACCATTGTACATGTGTGTGACACTACGGATCGGACTCAATCTCTATGTATCGGTCCCCGCTGATACCACTATCTACGCATGGGGACAAAACCAGCGGGGAAATATGTGTGTAGATTCGTGTATCGACCGGTCTCGCCACCTATCCGCATAAGTATATTTATATATACTGATATGATTTTTCATTGTCTGTCGATCTCACTGCCTTTATCGGGACAACCATCGGGACAGTCAGCGGGACAACAATCGGGACAACCATACTACGATCGGGCAAACACCAAGACATAAATCGAAAATGCCATCGGGGAAATCATCGTGGCACGAATCGAAGACAACCATCGGGACAACCATCGGGACATCCATCGGGACACCCATCGAGACAACCATCCGGACTACCATCGGGACATCCATCGGGACACCAATCGAGACAACAATCCGGAGTAACATCGGGACATCCGTCGGGACACGCGTCGAGACAGCCATTGGGACGACCATCGGGACAATCATCGTGACATCCATCGGAACAAACATCGGGACAACCAGCGGGACAACCATCAGGACAACCATCGGAACAATCATGGGGACAACAATTTGAGCAACTATCGGGACTACCATCGGGACAATCATCGTGACAACTATCGGGACAACTGTCGGAACTACCATAAACACTACCATCGGGACAATGACCAGGCGAACTATCAGGACAACCATCGGGACATCAACTGGGACAACCATCAAGACAACCATCGGGAAAATTATCAGAACTATCATCGGAACAACCATAGGGACAATCATCGGGACACCAACCGGGACAACCTTCTAGACAACAAACCGGAACATCCATCGCGACAACCATCGATACAACCATCGTGGACTACCATCGGGACAATCATCGTGACGACCATCGGGACAGCCATCGGGACATCCATCGGGTCAACCATCAGAACAACGATCGGGACAATCATCGCGACACTCATCGGGACCACCATCAGAACAATCATCGGGACATCCATCGGGACATCCATCGAGACTATCATCGGGACAACCATCTGGACAACCACCAGGACTACCCTCGAGACAACCAGCGGGACTACCATCTGGACAATCATCGTGAAAACAATCGGGACAACCATTGAGACAACTATCGGAACAAACATCAGGACAACCTTCTGGACAACCATTAGCACTACAATCGGGACAATAATCGGAACAACCATCGGGACAACCATCGGGACAACCTTGGTGACAAGTATTTGGACAGCATTCGGGAAAACCGTCGTGACAAAACTGGGGCAACCATCGGGACAACCATTTGGACTACCATCGCGACAACCATTGTGACAACAAACGGACCAACCATTGGGAAAACCATTGGGAGAACCATCAGAACAACCATCCAGACAACCATTGGACCAACCATCGGGACAAACATCAAAAGCACCATCCGGATAACCATCACGACATTCCTTAAGACAACCATCGGGACAACCTTCGGGACAACCATAAAAAAAACCATCGGGACAAACATCGGGACAACTATCGGAACAACCCGGGAACCACGGCTGGCGCGTGGGGCGACTCAGTTTTGTCTGGTTTCGCCTTAGCCAGGGGAGGGACTCGCGCAACCTCGCCTCGCCTCGAAGGCACGCACGTCACGCACAAAACGAAAAGATGTCCCACATGGGGCAGCTCACGTTTCACGTCGGCCTCACCCCATTCCCTCTGATTGTCTGTTGCTACATGTATACATGTATATGTGTACACGTGTGTATATGTACACCTCTGAAGACACACACCTAGCTATATACAGATATATTGATGTATACATGTATATATAGATATGTGCGTATGGGTTCCCTCAAACAGTGCTCACACATAGGAGCTCTTACGTGCTTTGCTTAAGGAACTGTTTTTTTTTCCGCCGCGCGGACCTCTCGAGCAAAGCCAGGGTTGGAGGGCCCTCCACCCCTGGTTTGCTTCCCTGTTCTTGGAGGGCGACGAGGGGACGAGGGAGAGGAGGAGGAAGACGAGGCCGAGGGGGGAAGCAACGACGGGCCCAGAGCGCAGACACGACAAGGCGGGAGGACAGGAAACGAGAGAGGAGGCGACAGAGCGACAAGACAAGACTCAAGGGGCCCAAGGACACACAAATAAATACACACAAATAAAATGATTCACCATCTTTTCCCATATGTTCTGGGTTTGTGTCTTCCCGCCCAATTCCCATATTTCCTATATTTTCCCATATTTTCTTGGGGATCGAACATTAATTGTCTCTGTGTGCTTTTCCCTCCTGAAAGACGACACGAGGCGAAGGTCGGGAGCGGCCAAGAGGGGGGTGTCCAAGAGAGGGGGGGGTGCAAATCATGACCGGCGGCACGTGCGCGGCCCAGCGGGGGGGCCAGGGACGTCATGGAACAAGAAGAGGCGCCGTGAAATCTGGGAAGTTACCATGGCCCACGCCATGATATCCCCCCCCCCTAGTCCTCACCCCCCTCTTTGCCGCCCCCGAGTAGGGGGACGGGCCCGACTCAACCCGAGAGCCCGGAAGGGGCCGCCACAGGCCGGGCCCGCTCTCTGGCCGGGCCGCCGACGGGTCCTCCCTCTCCTCCTCGCCCTCCTCCCTCTCCTCCTCGTCCTCGTCCTCCTCCTCCTCCTCCTCCCCCTCGTCCTCCTCCTCCCCCCCCTAGTCATCACCCCCCTCTGTGCCGCCCCCGAGAAGGGCATGGGCACGGGCACGCCGAGGCTCGGCGGCGTGCCCAGCCGGTGGGTGCCCCCGGGGCTCCCCGTGGGCGCCCCGCGCCGCCTCGCGGGAGCCCCGACGGCGCGCCTCGCACGGCTCGCGCCGCCTAGCTTGAGGTCGGGCCTGTTCCCCATACAGGAGAAATCTGTCGACGAAGAATAAGAGATGGCCCAAACATAATCAAGGAATGGTCCAAAAGTAGTGCGGGGCCCATTTTTCGAGTACTTCATCGCTTCGCTCATTCCGCCGCAAGAAGGTAAAAAAATTAGCCGGAAAATTCGCCATAGGTCACTTCGCTTCCGAGTATCCAAAGAATACAAACAAACAAAAAACCCAAAAATGTCAACAAAAAAAAATTGGCAGGCCCAACGGGCCAGAGGCGTGCCAAGATCTCCGGCAACTACTTCACTGTATTTCTAGTTCGCGCGCGCGGGGCGCCCCCTGGGGGGCCCCGGACGAAAAGTACCCCGGCCGATCCCCGGCCGGGTCCCGGGCGATCCCCAGAGGGGGAGGCTATTTTTCGCCACCCCTCATGAGGATCGTGGCCTCCGAGGGGGGGCTGCAATCAACTAGCCCCCCCCCCGCCCCAAGGGGCCCCCAAGAGCCCCCCAAGAGGCCCCAGGGGAGCCCAAGACGCCGCCAAGGAGCCCCAAGACGCTCCCGAGAAGCCCCCAAGAGGCCCCCAAGACGGCCCCAAGAGGCCCCAATTAGCGCTCCAGGGCCGGCGGAATGAGCGACGCGATTAAATACTCGAAAAAAAACCCCCGGACCATTTCTGGACTATGTTTTGATTATTTTTGGTGTATTTTTTATTTTTCGTCGAAAATCCCCCTGTAGGGGGATATGCCCGACGTAAACCTAGCTGAGCTGGCTGGCTGCTGGCCACCGACCATGTCTCCGGCCGTCCCAAACACCGTATACAGTCGAGGCGTTGACCTAAGGAACCTTAGAGAAGGAACGAGGCCCCTATTTTCCATGAGTGGAACTTCGATCTCCCATCGAAAACCTCGGGAAAAACACCAGGGAAGCCGTGAAACAATCAAGGAACACGGAGCCCCTCCCCAACGAAAAGGGTTCCTTCTTCTGGGCCCCGACTGTAGTCAGCACGTTGATGACAGAGGGAGCCTTCGCGCGCCGCTTGCTCGCGTGGCGTGGTGATGGAAGCCTTCGGCGAAGATGCCAGGCCGCCGCGCCGCACACGGAGGACTCCCATGGAGCCGTGCCCTCACGCGCTCCACGCCCAGCGCTTCCGTGCGCCCCGCTCACTCACACACAGCGGGGCGGAGGAGGAAGGGCGGCACGAGCGGGAGGAATAAAGGGGCCCTGGGACACACAAAGAAATGCACACAAATAACAAGATTCCCAATACTCCCCATGTGTTCGGGGTCCTGGTCGTCCTCCCCACTTCCCATATGTTCCCATACCTTCTCCTGGGAGGAGGAGGGCGAGAAAGGGGGGAGGAGGAGGAGGAGAAGGAGGAGGAGGAGGAATGGAATGGAATGCCCTAAAGGGGGAGTGCACCGCACTAAATAATCTCAGCTAACTATAACTGGGGTACGAATCGGGGATGGGGGAGTTAAAAAGAGGGTAACCCTCTGAAAACTCCCGAAACTATCCCCTGGACCGAGCATCTCGGGTGCTCCCCTTCACTCGAATTCGCTCGACCAAAGCGTTCATTTTTTGCTCATAGGAGGGGGCCGTCTCTGTGGCCGAAAAACTCGTACGAACATTCGTGTCAGAGGTGTCATGGGGCTCGGGCGGGTCGCGGCGCAGCCGAGAAACAGGGAGAGCCTTGTCCAGCAAGGCCAAAACGCGACGATTCGGGCACCGCCCTTGCCTCACCATGGAGATCACCTCTAAACCTTTACGAGTGGGGGCAACACAGGGACGGCCTAATTTCTCAAGCTTTGCTTGAGACCACCCTCCACACTTCAAACAAACTATGGTTTGCTCTCGAACCTGACACACCGAGGCGCCGCCGCCAGTTTCCCGAGCCAATCCAGCAGTGGCGATGAGGGAATGTCCCTGGGGGTTCGAGAGCAGCCGGCTGGCGTGACTGGGAACGCCTTTGCAGCCACTCATTGGGACTCCGTCTGGCGATCCTTCTGCCACCAGCAGACATCTGGTGCACTGCAAGCCTAATTCACCATGCTTCCAGCAGTGCAAAAAAAACAGTCCGCTTTGAGCGGCCTGATCTGATCCGCACAGGTCTTTTCCACCTAACCTCATTGGGGAATAGCGGGAGGACCTCGGCGGCTAATTTCATGAAGCTCTGCGCACGGGTGGCTGCAAGATTCACATCTGAGAGGAAATCCGCGTCTGGCGCAGGGTGGAGGGACAACGCTGCTTTAGCCTGCCTGTCGACAGCTGCGTTGGCCACGGCAAAAAGTCTCTCCTCGCCTTCGAGCAGCGCCATTTCTTCTTCGGACCTGTGCGCCTTCACGTGACGCACTGTATGAATCAAAGGCGTTCCCTCCAATCCCTGCGCAAAAAGTCTGATGCCGGCATATGTGTTACCTGCCACGAGCTGCATCGACACGTCTTGCTGGGTGACTCGGATGGCGGCCTTGCAATCTGATCCTAACTCGGCGGGCCTGCTGGCCACTTCGCCGCGCAGTGCGATGCCTACGCGTTCGGCCATGGCGGGAGTCTGCGGGAGCATGCCAGGCACAACTCCGCGCAGAAACGCTACTGGATCTTCCCCGATGTCGGGGAGGACTCCGATGGACCAGGCAGCTCTCTCCAGCGGTCTCAACAACGGTTTGCTTCCTGATCCATCCGAGGCCAGTCGGAGCGGCACATTCGTTGTGAGACTGGCAATCTGCTCTGGGGTTAAATCAAGTGCGTTGCCGTGCTGATCCAATACGTCAACCTCGTACGAAACCAACGGGCACGGCAGCGCACTGTCCTGATATGTGAAAATGCCAGTGGTGAAAATCAGATTTTCGGGCTCCGCTCGGGCCGCAGCCAAGAACTCGGGAGAGACCTCGGCGGCCTGACGGGCCTCTAAAACATTGGGTAACTGACAGCAGTAGAGCCTGTGGTGGATTGTGTCCCTTTCGCCACACTCGCACTGCCCGTCACACAGGCACCCCGCCCTCTCATCGCGATCTTTTGTCCACAATCCTAAGCATCCACAGCTCTTTATTAGATACTTCTGATACCTACTCAGGCGCTTGGCTTTCGGAGACACAGCTTTTCTCACGAAGTCCAGCGTGGCGCGCGTCCCAGGGTTGAAGCCTAGCTTTCGGGCCAACCGAAACTCGCGCTGCCTTTGAACTCCTAGCTCAAGCATATCTTTTAAAAGCGACGGCGGGGTCTGCGTTAAATCAACGTCATGGCCACTGTGGTCCACTCATTTTAAGGGGCCACGGTACTTCCAGCCCGCACGGGCCAAACTCAAACAAGCACGAGAAACCGGACCCCTGGACTCTTGCCAAGTTTTACAGCTAGAGGCCTGACATGATTCCCAGAGGTAGACGAGCTCAGCCATCTTTACAAGGGCGTGCTCTGGGCGAGTCGCAGCTGACCACACCATCCGGCGCCATTGGATTGCGGGCGCCACAGCAAATCTCGTGCTACTATCACCGTTTAAAACTACCTTAGCTGAAAGTGAAACTCCGCCGTGCGAGGGAGCATCTGAGCTACTCATCAATCGCTGGTGCGCTAGCCACTCAGAATCAGAAAGCCCCTGGATCTCAACTCCAAAGCTGCTCGCAGGGGCCACACCCTGGCGATTTATCTTCCTGAATGGGATCTCCTTGGGGCCTTTGAACCCTTTCCTCATGGCTCGCACCTTTCGGATCCTTCTCCTCATCGCAACAAACCTCGGCTGCTGCTTCAGTCGCACTCGTTGTCGTCGCCGAGCTGCGCCAGCAGACTCGTCCACGCCCAGGTAGGACACACTGGGCTTGATCACCGACCTCGGGAGCTCAAGCTCGTCACACACGGCTGCAGCCAATGCCTGGTGCGTCGAGATGATCGCGAGCTTCTCATCGTTCAGGGTGGCGTTGATCTGCCTGCTAGCCTCGAAGAAATTCTGGATGCCCTCCACAGCCGTGCCTTTCGCTATGTCGTAATCAGAAGAAGAACTGTGAAGACCTGAATCGTCAATGTAGTTCTGGAAGTCTATCGCCGGCGACTTCGTTATCATCATGTCAAACGCGTCCACGGTGTTGACTTTGACGGCTAAGCCAGCGCAAGCGTCACCTGCTGGCAATCCAAGCCGAGCACAGAGCACTTCATCTGAGTGATGTCGGCCGAGTCTGATAACTCTGGGGCTCATCCACATATTGAATACCAGTTTGAGCACGCACGTGGGCGCTCCATGACGAAGAAACTTCATCTTCAGAACTTCCAGGGGGATGGTCCCGTAGTACTTGGACCAATCAGCAATGAAAACAATGCCATATCTGTGCGTCATCTGATCAGATTCTGAACGCGCTGCTTGAGCCCATGCGCAGTCCATCGCCGATCGTCCTTTGCATGCGCCCCAGTATACCCGCTCCAGCGTGTCATGCGTGCTCTGAACGATGGCGCGCCGAGCCCTCTGCCAAATCCTGTACATACCCGCATGCAGAATGATCAGGCGGTTGCCTCCACTTGGCTTGCCCAACAACGGCATCTGCATCCAGCGCAGCTGCTTCGGCAAGACCCCTATGGCCTCTGCCGCTTCCCAGATGGAAGCTAGCACCTCTAATCCTTCGTCGTCCAGCATCACCGCGTGCCTCGGGTGGAAGTTGTCTAGGCTTGCCGAAGTCGTAGCTGGAAAAGACCTCGAGATCCGACGTATTTGATCTGGTTCAAGTCGTGGGCAGCTGCTCCTGTCTGGGATCCACGCTGCCGCTGCCTGACTGCCGGCACCCCGCAGCTTTCTGTAGAGGGCCACCTCCTGCTTCACTATCACCACGGGGTCCCCAGATGGTATACCAATGGCAGCAGCTGGTGCGGGGGCAGCTCGAACATTGGTAGTGCGGTGTAGAGGCCGAGCGCCTCCACTCGCAGCAATGCTGCACCATTCTGTCCACGACCCATTCGCATCTTTTACCTGACCTTTCTTTGCCAGTTCTACGTCATCGTCGATCTCATCCAGGAATGTTTGAATGCGTTGCAAGTCGAGTGGTATCTGATTGATCTCCTGGCGGCCTTGAGTGACCGCACTATCCAATCGTCCACTTAGGCCTGCTCCTGGGAACGGTGTCGACATGAATTGAGCTATCTCTTCTGAATATTTCTGCCATCTTGTCTGGATTAGAGAATAACAGCTGGATGGTGATCAAACCTTCTCTGAGCCACTGCCAGCCCTTGCCAATCGCCTGGATGTCCGACTCTACGTTCATGGGGTATTCAGCGTTGACCCAACGAGGTTCCAGGTTCTTGTCGTACGCCCCGCTGTTCTTTAGTTCGGTGCACGTGTTGGCAGCAATGTATTCAGCAACAGTAACTGCAAACTTTCCATATACTCTGGTGAGGTAGGCCCAAGCAACAGCAGCATCACTCATGGGGTCTTGGGCCAATCGTGCTGCTTCATCTGCCAATGCTGCAAGAACTGTCCAGTTAATCGGCTTCGTGCGCGGCCCAACGGGAAATGCAGCGGGTAGTCTCTGCGTGACAGTGTAGACGCAGTGCTGAATCGCGTACCCATTGTCTGTTATATTTAGTTGGACTGGCCGATGAGCTTTCTTGTGCCAACTACTTTGAACCTGCACTCCTCGAAACCCTCGTTGAGCTGCATTGTTGAGACAGAAAAAATCGATCGTAGAACAGCCAGTTCCACCTCGGAATGTGACTTGATCAGGCATCGCTATCACCACCGATGCCATTCGTGGGAACTCTGAGTCCCCTAGGTCCTGGCCCGTCATGTTCCAGTCACCACCTATGATGCATGGCGTAGCCGTTCGCGCCATGATTCGACCAGCAGCTGCAAGCACTTCAGTGTTCTCGCCAGTCGCGCCGATCGAGACCTTCAGGTATACGTTCAAGAGAGACAGGCTGGGCCACCCTGGCAGGTCGACCACCGCGTGCTGCAGGCGATGGTCGTATACCAATTGACCGCCATCTGGGTGTCGCAGCCCTAGATCAGCTCGAGCCAGAACTGCGGTGCCGCCTGACGGGACCATGCCACTCGTCGGGCGAGCTGGTATAGCAGCAACTTTCCAACCTCGATTGCCTGCCCAGCTGCGCAGCGACTCGATCAGGGGCTCCGTGAAGCCTGTCTCCTGGATGAGTACGATGTGCGCCGTGGTGCGCTGAATCATCTGCATGAGTGTCTTTCGCCCTCCGCTCGCATTGAACGTCGCGGAGGCGTAGGTGCCCTGCGCGGGCGGTGTCGGCGGCAGCTTCACCATTCCTTGCTGCAGCCTGAGTCCTGATACTAGTAGGTTGCCCGAGTCGTGGCTTCTTTCCAAACTCCCGTAGCTTAGCAGCAAACTCCTCGAAACTACCGTCCTTTCCAAGGGTGTAGAGGGCCTGCTGCTCATCCTCGTCGAAGTCGCGCTTGAGCCCACAACCTTCAGTAGATCCAGCTTGGTCTGCGGGCACACGAGAGTCACCATGCTTATCAGCATCGCCCATGTGCACATCAGGAGCCGCAGGTATCTTGGCCGACAAATGCTCACGCAACTTCGCCCATGACGGTGTGCTGAGGAGCTTCTTGAGCTCTTCATCATCAAGCTCTTCCTCCCGCACGTTGAGGAAGTCCGCTGGGTTCTGTTGTTCGGGGGCCTTGCCGCCCACGCTAGCGGCGTGGGTGCGCACCTCCGCCTGCAGCGCGAGAACCTCGGTCTTCTTGGACTCCAGCTGAAGGCGCTTCTCGGCGATGCTCTCCTGCAAGCGCGCCAGCTGGTCCTCCTTCTCACTGATCTCTTTCGTGAGCCTCTCGCAAGACGCCTGCGCCTTGTAGAGGTCCTGAATTGCACGGCGATGCGCCACGGCGGGGGGCCGTAGCTGCTCCTGCTCTTACTTGATCGCATCGATTTTGGTCTGCATAGTCTTCCGTAGCTCATCACCTGACTCGCCTTGTGGGAGCGTCTTGATCGACGCCTCGAAGCAGGCGAGCTGAGCGGCAAGCTTGGCTCGTGTATCTTCTTCCTTGTCATCAGCTTGCGGCTCCGTGGCGGACGAGGGGTCAGTTTTCGGTACTCTCTGCCACGGTGCCTTCTCCTTCTCTTTGGCGTCGGGTTGACCACCACGCAGCAGCTTCTCGATCTCCCCCAGGCGCTTGGAGAGCTCGAGGTCTTGCTTCGAACGGCCTGCTGCGCCACCGCCACCTGCTGACCCAGGCGACTTGGCATCCCATATCTTCTGGTTGTCCCACGCCGACTTGCGTATACGCACAGGTGCGTCGTTGCCGCATGTGCACGTGATCCTGCACGCCCAGTTGCTGCTCGCCCCGCAGCGGCCGCACGCCCACATCGGGCGGCGCGGGCCGCGCAGCACGCTGGGCTGCGGCGGCTGCGGCACCATGAAGAGGAGGGCTGTCGGGTGGCGGCGGGCTGCCTGCCACCGACGGGAATCGTGAAAACGGATGTCGGGCTGAACAACCCTGGCACTGCTGCGGAATAGCAGCTTCCAGTCAGGCACGGAGGCGCGGAGCCCCCAAGTGCAAGCATCTTGAGCAAAAATGGCTACGGAGGAGGAGGAGGAGGAGGAGGAGGACGAGGACGAGGACGAGGAGGAGGAGGAGGAGGAGGAGGAGGGACGATGAACTGTGTCTGTGTGTTCTCTCTCCTCCTGAAGGCAGGAGCACTGCAGGAGGTCGACGAGGGGGGAGCAGGAGCGGAGCGGCGCACCGGCTGGCCCGGTGGCGCGCGCGACGCACCCGGGAGGACGGCAAGCGCAAAAACGCCCCCCGAACAAATGGGGGAGCAAACACGGACCCGGTGTGCTCGTGTGCCGCCCCGGGGGAGCACGACAGGGCTGAACCTGAACGGTGTTCTGCGTTCTCGTCTTCTGGCCACCGCTCGGACGTCCTTTTTCCTGTGCCTTTTGCGGTTTCGTGCGCGGCTTCTTCGCCAGACGATCAAGGGTGCTCCTCGGTGGTCCTCGCCGAAGGGAAAATGCACACGTCCGAGCGATGCCAAGGGGGAGCACGATAGGGCTGAACCCTGCACGGTGTTCTGCGTCCTCGTCTCGTCTTCGATGTCCCTCGCTTCGTCCTCCCGTCCGCCCTTCACGCAAAACGAGATCGAAACGAGAACAGCCCACGAGACCGCCAAAACACCGCTTAGGCCCACCACCCCTGGAACACGAGGCTGGGTGAGGGGGGAGGGGGGGGAAGAGAAACGCGAGGAGGCGCGCCAAGAGTGCTGCCATGGAGCCCAGGATCTGGGGCGGAGCGCGGGAGAGCCGCGAGGGCCGAGGGCGAACGTTTCGGGCGGCGGAGGCTGTCACACCACGCTCGGCGTCTCGTCTCGCTCGCAGTCGCACTCCCCGACGTCGGAGGACGCGCACAGCCTGCCGCCGTCGCCCTCCTCCTCCTCCTCCTCCTCCTCCTCCTCCTCCTCCTCCTCCTCGTCCTCCTCCTCCTCCTCCTCGTCCTCCCTCCTCGTCCTCCCTCCTCCTCCTCCTCCTCCTCCTCCTCCTCCTCGCACTCCCCGATGTCGGAGGACGCGCACAGCCTGCCGCCGTCGCCCGCCGCCCTGCTGAGCGCGATGGACGACGGCGAGACGTCGCACGAGCCGCCGCGGCACTTCGAGGCCCTCTCCCAGAAGGCCGGCGGCGCGCCGAGGGGGGAACCTCCTCCCCTCCTTCTCCTCCTCCTCCTCCTCTCTCCTCCTCCCTCACCCTCCTCCTCCTCCTCCTCCTCCTCCTCCTCCCTCCACCTCCTCACTCCTCCTCCTCCTCCTCCTCCTCCTCGTCCTCCCTCCCTCCTCCTCCTCCTCCTCCTCCCCTCCTCTCCTCCTCCTCCTCCTCCTCCTCCTCCTCCCCTCCTCTCCCTCCTCCTCCTCCTCCTCCTTCCTCCTCCTCCTCCTCCTCCTCCTCCTCCTCCTCCTCCTCCTCCTCTTCCTCCTATTCCTCCTCCTCCTCCTCCTCCTCCTCCTCCGTGAGGAGAGGCGGGCCACCCCACAAGGCGGCGGGGCTTCAGAGAACGCACAAAGATTCTCGCAAGGCTGAGGTGCCTTCGAGCCCTCTGTACGAGGGCGTCCACTGCGCACCTACGCCGATCCTGGCCAAGCTAATTCTGGGCCCAGCATTCGCGTGCGCCACCCTGGCTTGGGCAGGAAAGCATCACCTTATGCACCGATCCTGGGCCCAGGCTCGGCCTCAACACAGGACTTGTGTGGGTGTACGAGGACGCCATCTTCCTCTGAGGGCCGGTCTCCTTCTTCGGGAATCCCGAAAGGCACCGATGCCGCTGCTCCCCGGACCTCTCCCGGGGTGCGTCATGACCAGGAATTCGGAGCGAACCCGGCGATGGCGACAAGGGTATCCCAGAAGGCCCCAGAAAACAATAAGCCTGGCGAAAGACCCAACCAGATTCAATCGTGCGTACCGACATTGTGAATATCTTCTTCGGTGGTATTCCCTATGGGGCCACGAAACGTTCGAGGGGTGTGCCGAAATGGGTGTGGCGGACGCATGTGGACGGAGGCTCTGGGGCATGCGGTGGAGCTCCCAATGCGGCCACGAAACGTATGAGGGGGGGTACCAACATGGGTGTGAAGGACGCATGCGGGCGGTGGCACTGGAGCATTCGGTGGATCTCCCTATGGGGCCACGAAGCGTGTGAGAGGTGTGCCGACATGGGCGCGGGGGAGGCAACTGGACGGTGGCACTAAGGCCTCCGGTGGAGCTCCCAATGGGGCCACGAAACGTGTGGCTGTGCCGAACTGGGTGTGGGGGACGCGTGTGGACGGTGGCACTAGGGCCTTCGGTGGAGCTCCCTCAGCACCAACCGTGTGGGGGGCGTGCAGAATTGGGTGCGGGGGACGCGTGTGGACGGTGGCACTGGGGCCTTCGGTGAAGCTCCCTATGTGCCACGAAACGTGTGAGGGGTGTGCCGAAATGGGTGTGGCGGACGCATGTGGTCGGTGGCACTGGAGCTTTCGGTGGAGCTCCCTACGGGGCTACGAGACGTGTGAGGGGTGTGCCGAAATTGGAATGGCGGACGCATGTGGACGGTGACACTGGGGCCTTCGGTGGAGCTCTCATGGGGCCACGAAACGTGTGAGGGGTGTGCCGAAATGAGTGCGGGGGACGCATGTGGACGGTAGCACTGTGACCTTCGGGGGAGCTCCCTATGGGGCCACGAAACGTGTGAGGGGTGTGCCGAAGTGGGTGTGGCGGACGCATGTGGACGGTGGCACTGGAGCTTGCGGTGGAGCTCCCTATGGGGCCACGACGCGTGTGAGAGATAAGCAGGAATGGGTGAAGGAGACGCTTCTGGACGGCGGCACTGGGGCCTTCGGTGGAGCTCTCATGGGGCCACGAAACGTGTGAGGGGTGTGCCGAAATTGGAATGGCGGACGCATGTGGACGGTGACACTGGGGCCTTCGGTGGAGCTCTCATGGGGCCACGAAACGTGTGAGGGGTGTGCCGAAATGAGTGCGGGGGACGCATGTGGACGGTAGCACTGTGACCTTCGGGGGAGCTCCCTATGGGGCCACGAAACGTGTGAGGGGTGTGCCGAAGTGGGTGTGGCGGACGCATGTGGACGGTGGCACTGGAGCTTGCGGTGGAGCTCCCTATGGGGCCACGAAGCGTGCGAGGGGTGTACCAAAGTAAGGGGGGTCACAGGAGAACAGAGGAGGAGGAGGGGGAAGAGGAGATGAGAAGAGGAGGGGATAAACGCGGGGACCGTCTTTTTTGAGCAGGGACCGACCGCTCCAGCATTCCTATAGCGACTGTGCGACCGACCCCTCGAGGATCTTCTCGAGCGCCGGCCTAAAGCAGCTCGCAGAGTCCATGCTTGAGCAGAGACCGACTGCCCCGGCACTCCTATAGGCCTGCCAGGACATGTTATGCCCCAGGAGGAGGAGGAGGAGGAGGCGCCAGAACATCCAACACTGTCGACGTATGCGAGACGCTGTCGTCGTCGTCGAAAACAACCTCCTCTCCAGAGGCCGAAATGGGGGCCCTACGGCGGGGCTCTGCTCGCCAGGGCGCAGGCAGCCACATTGGGATCCCTGACCCCCAAGCGAGGGCTCCACAGGCGACGGGGTGCCCTCCCTAAAATGGCGGCCGGCGCCGCCTCGTTCGGCGGCGGAGATCCGCGATTATACGCCGCCACGCTGGTTCCGGGCAGGCTGTGCTGCCCGGCGGAAGGGGACGAGGAGGGGAGAAGCAGGCAGACGACGACGAACGCCCAGGCGGGAGGCCAGGGCCGGCGGGGCGGGCGGGCAGGCAGAAGACGGGCCAGGCGGAGACAGCAGGCAGGGAGCAGGAGGAAAGGAAAGGGAGGGAAGCAACGAGCAGAAGCGAAGGGAGGGGGAGGAGGGGGAGGAGGACAAGGAGGAGAGAAAGCAGCGGCCGCAAGCAGACAGGCCGGGCCAGGGGCCGGGAGAGAAGAGCCGCCCGCGACGAGGCTGCGGACCCTACGGCGGCGACCTGGGCGGGGTGGCCGCCCGAACCCAGCGCGATGCGGCTTGGTGGGGATTGCCCTCTGCGGGATCCATCCACCGCCCCGCCGGGGAAAGGCCGGGCGGCGCGTGGGAGGGGTCGCCGGCGCGACGTTGGCGAAAGGGCGAGGGGGGCGCCCGCGCTGCCCAGCAAGGGCGGGGGGGGGGGGCGGGGTGCGCTAGGCAGCGCAGGGGGCACCTCACACGGCGTCTGCCGTGGAGGCCGCCGTGGCCGCGGCCAGGCGGGCCGCTGCCACCCCCGCCCCTCCAGACAGGGTCTGAAGGCGCCGCAACACCGCCCGCGCGTTCTCCCTGTGCAGGGAGACGGAAAGTCGCTGGGCATGTTGGTCCGCAACCAGTGCGGCGTCTTCCCCCGTGGCGTCAGCCACCCGCTTGGCCAGGACCCCGAAGGCCCTGCGTGCCTCGCGGCCCCACCCGCCGCCGTGGGCTTCCACCACCATGGGGAGGAAAGTGAAGCCCTGTGCCGCGCAGAGCCGCGCGGTGTCCTGGTGCTGCCTTTTGAACTCCTCGTACCGCTCCGTCGCTGCGCTTGACGAAACGGCCGACGCGGCGAGGAGATCGGCGCGCAACCCTGACGTGGCGGCAAAGTCCCAGGCGGCCGCCGTGCCGTTGCGCCACCGCGGCAGGTAGACGTCGGCAGGGCGGCGGCCGTTGTCGTCCACCTGGGACCCGCCCTGCTCGCCCCCGGGGGTGGCCTCCCCGGCGGGGCGCGCGGGTAGCAGCCCCGGGCGCTCCAACTCCGCCCCGGCGTGGCCGGCGGCCAGGGCGTCGAAGAAGGCCTGGTTGCGCAGGGCGTTGTGGCGTTTGGTCCGGTCGCCGCGGCAGGCGCAGACCAGGGCGTGGTCGCAGAAAACGTCCATCACCTCGCCACAGGCTGGGCAGAAGCACTCCTCCTGCAGGAGCTGGACTCGCAGCCGCCTCTGCAGGCCGACCTGCATGAGGCCGTGCGGGAAGGCGGTGCCGGTGGCCTCGCAGGGCGGCGCCTGGAGCCACGCGGCCGCGCCTGGGGCTTGCACCAGAGAGAGGTGCGCCTTGCCGGCCAGGGTGGAGCCCGCCAGAAGTCCGTCGAGCGAGGCGCTGTCCACCGCGTCGGAGAGGGCCTTCTGGTTGCCGTGCTGCGCGTGGTCGAACACCACCCGGTCGGCGTCCCGCACGACTGCGTTGTGGGCCTGCACCGCAGCCGCCAGGCTACCTCCGTCGCGGTCGGGGTTGTTGGAGTAGCCGGGGTAGAGCTGCCGACAGAGGTCGGTGCTCTTCGCTCTGGAAGCGATGTAGGCGGCGGCGGCGTGCTTCGCGGCAGAGCGCAGGCCAAGTCCTCCCTTCCTGAGCTTAAGCTGAGCCTGCTGCCAAGAAGCGTCGGAGGGCGAGCATTCCTATAGTCATACCACGACATGTTCTTAGGAATCAGAAAATGTTCTAAGTACAAAAATAATGTTCTGAGAACATCCTTTGGTGGGGCTATAGTCGGGTCGGGCGAAAGGGGGGGATAGCAAACGGGGGGGGGTGAGAATCAGCTCACGTAGCTGACTTTCCCGGCGCCTCCCGGCGCCGGGAAATGCATGCAGCAAATGTTGTACCCCCCCCTTCCCCACTCCCCCCCTTTCGTTCGGCCCGATGTAGGCGAGCCCGGGCGCTTCGCCCCTGCTCAACTAACTCTTCAAAACGAGGACCCAACGCCGCAGGATGGCTGGGACCAGCGGGGCGAGTCTGGCCATCGCATCGCTCGGACGTCCATTTCCTGTGTTTTTGTTTGGTTTCGTGCGTGTTTTTTTTTTTTCGCCAAATGATCAAGGATGCTCCTCGATGGTCCTCGCCGACGGAAAAGTGCACACGTCCGAGCGATGGCTGCCAAGGAGTGCAGCGGCGCGGGAGCCTGCCCCTGCGCTGTGGCCCTCTGCCTCCACCCCCCTTGGCGCCCCGCCGCGCAGGGGAAGTAGTAGCGCTGCAGGTAGAGCATCACGTAGCAGTCGATGCCGCGGCGCGAGAGGTACGTGTCCGCGACGCGCCGCCCCCCGGCCGCGACCCGCGCCGCCCTCGCGCCGGCGGGGAGGCCGTCGGCGGGCGAGAGCGCCTCCTCGATCACCTCTTCCGGAGGTCGCTCGACCCCCCCCCCCTTTTGCTTGGACGCACGAACTGGGTACGGAAAAAAGGGGTACAATGCCCGACAACAAGTGTTGCCCCAAACCAACAGCGGCCGCTGTTGGGCAGGCGGCCTGCTGTCTCGAATGGACACAGGCCGCGGCGGCGTGGGCAGCGAATCCTGCTCAAATTGAACAGGACCTGCTGTTGGGCATTGTACCCATTCTCTCCGTACCCATTTCTGAAGGGGCCCTGGGACACACAAATAAATACACACAAGTAAAAAGATTCCCCATATCTTCCCATCTTTTCTGGGTTTTCCTCTTCCCCACCACTTCCCATATTGTCCCATATTTTCTGGGGAATCGACGATTAATTGTGTCTGTGTGTTCCTTTTCCTCCTGAATTTCGGGCGTCCAGATTTTGGGCCCCCTCTCGCGACGTCCGGCGCACCCGGCGTGGCTGCCGTGGGCCGGGCGGGGCGGCTGCCCGTCGACGCCGGGGCGCGCACGCGGCCCTTAAGGGCCGCAGTCTCGGCAGCAGGGCCGACACGCAAGAGTTCCCTCTCCCTCCGGAGCCCCTCCCCTCTGTAAAGGGGCCCCAGGACACACAAATAAATACACACAATTATCCCAGCGCGACCCTACCTAAGAGTTGGAGCCCCTAGGAAAGCAGCATTGGTAGTAACAGTAAAGCTAAGCTAACGCTAAACTAAAGCTAAGCTAAAGCTAAGCTAACGCTAAGCTAACGCTAAGCTAAAGCTAAGCTAAAGCTAAGCTAAAGCTAGGCTAAAATTAAGCTAACGCTAAGTTAATTCTGAGCTGAAGCTAAGCTAAAGCTAAGCTAAAGCTAGAGCTGAAGCTAAGCTGAAGCTAAGCTGAAGCTGAGCTGAAGCTAAGCTGAAGGCAAGCTGAAGCTAAGCTGACGCTAAGCTGAAGCTAAGCTAAAGCTAAGCTAAAGCTAAGCTAAAGCTAAGCTACAGTTAAGCTAAAGTTAAGCTGAAGCTAAGCTGGAGCTAAGCTAAAGCTAAGCTAAAGCTAAGCTGAAGCTAAGCTAAAGCTAAGCTGAAGCTAAGCTGAAGCTAAGCTGAAGCTAAGCTGAAGCTAAGCTGAAGCTAAGCTGAAGCTAAGCTGAAGCTAAGCTGGAGCTAAGCTGGAACTAAGCTAAAGCTAAGCTAAAGCTAAGCTAAAGCTAAGCTGAAGCTAAGCTGAAGCTAAACTGAAGCTAAGCTGAAGCTAAGCTGAAGCTAAGCTGAAGCTAAGCTGAAGCTAAGCTGAAGCTAAGCTGAAGCTAAGCTAAAGCTAAGCTAAAGCTAAGCTAAAGCTAAGATAAAGCTAAGCTAAAGCTAAGCTAAAGCTAAGCTAAAGCTTTATCTAAAGCTAAAGCTAACGCTAAAGCTAAAGCTAAAGCTCCCAGGGGACTGGGGGAACCGCGGGGCGGGGACTGGGGGAACCGCCCGGGGCGCTTTCCACTGCCGGCCCCTTTAAGCTAAGAGAGGAAGAACCCTTCTAGGCAGAGCCTAGGTAGGGAAATACAAAGATTCGTCATATTTTCCTATATTTTCCGCCTTCCCCCCCACTTCCCATATTTCCCCATATCTTCTCGGGGATCGCCGATTAATTGTGTCTGTGTGTTTTTTCCCCTCCTGACCCACTGCCCCCCGCCCTTCCACCTGCTGGCATCCCTATGCTGGGCATCTCCTCATCACGATGCCAATCTTAGGGATTCCCTTATTTTTTGAGGGCGCATCCCTAAGATTGTCATCGCTTTTTGGCATGGCGATCTTAGGGATGGGGATATTTGAGAGAGCGTGATCCACCGCCGCTTTACTGTGGAAAATTGCCAGCCTTTTCCTCTGGAGCCCGGGGGTCGCTCCCCCCCTCCCTCCGAAAATCCCCCCCCCCTGCTGGAACCCCCCCCCTCCCCCCCCCCCCCCCCCCCTCTCCCCCGGGCAAAACCCCCCCTCCCGTAACCCCTCCCCCCCTCCCTCTCGAAAGCCGCGGGGGGTCACTACCAGTTCGAACCCCTGCCCCCCCCCCCCCCTCCGGATCTGGAAAACCGCGGGGGGTCACTACCGGTTCGAACCCCCCCCCCCCCTCGAAAACCGGTTCGACCCCCCTCCCCCACGCACCGCCAGCAAACGACTCCCGGTCCCTACCACCGTCCGCATCACATCCCCCACTGTTGTTCCCAGCACCACTGTCCTCACCACCACTGTCCCCACTGGTTCCACCACCGTCCCTACTGTCCCCACCAGTGCCCCCACCACTGTCGCACTGTCCCCACTGTTCCCACCACTGTTCCCACCACGGTTCCACTCTCCCCACTGTCTCCACGGACCCAACCACTGCCCGACTATCCCCACTGTCCCCACTGTCCCACTGACTCCTCCGCTGTCCCACTGAGCTGTCCCACTGTTCCCACCACTGTCCCCACTGTCCCCACCACTGTCCCCACTGTACCTCTGTCCCATTGTCCCACCGCCGTCCTCGCCACCGCCTTCACCACTGTCCCCACCACCATTGTACCCTCCACTGTCCCACTGTTTCCACCTCATTCCCACTGTCCCCACACCACTGTCCCCACCACCACCGTCCCCACCACTGTCCACTGTCCCCCCTGTTCCCACCATTGTCCCCACCACTGTCCCCACCACTACCGTCCCCACCACTGTCCCACTGTCCCACTGTCCCCACCACTGTCCCGCTGTCCCCTCACCACTGTCCCCACCAACACCGTCCCCACCACTGTCCGCACCCCCACTCGGTTTTCGAGGGGGGGGGGGGGTCGAACCGGTAGTGACCCCCCCGGTTTTCGAGGGGGGGGGGGGGGTTCGAACCGGTAGTGACCCCCCCCCCTTTTAATGATGAAATGAGGGGGGGGGAGGGGGTTCGAACCGGTAGTGACCCCCCCCCGGTTTTCCCGAGGGGGGGGGGGGGGGGAGGGGTTCGAACCAGTAGTGCCCCCCCCGGTTTTCCGCCAGCAGCGGTAGAACACGCTCTTTCGGATATTTCGAGGCTGGTAAGTTCCCTCTCCCTCCGTGGCCCCTCCCCTCTGCCCCCCGCCCTTCCACCCCGCCCGCCCCGTCCACTGCCCTCCTTCCGCCTCGGTCCCTCTACGCCTGCCGCACTCCCTCGAGGCCTCCATGCTCCTCACCTCCTCCTCCCTCCTCCTCCTCTCCTCCTCCTCCTCCTCCTCCCTCCTCCTCCTCCTCTCCTCTCTCCTCCTCTCCTCCTCCTCCTCCTCTTCCTCCTCCTCCTCCTCCTCCTCCTTCTCCTCCCCCTCCTCTTCCTCCTCCTCCTCCTCCTCCAGTCACTCCCTCATGAATGGCTCCTCCCTGTCACACCACACGGCCGGTCGAAAGGGAAGGTCGGGCGTTTCGCTGGGAACTTCCTCGCCAATTCTGCTGCTGAAGATGAATAACGGCGTCGCAGATGGAGGGCGGATCGTTTCCAACATGCGGCACTCGACTTGCCGCCTCGCAGATTGGTTCGAACCGTCCGCAAAACGGCTTCACTGATCGAGGCCAGGTCTCGCCGCCGCGCCACGCGCATGTGTTTTCAAAGTTCGCAGGCGCTTCAAGCACTGAGGGTGGGTCGTTGTCAACCTGTGGCTCTCGCTGGAACGCGGCGCGCATGTGTATTGAACATGTGCAGGAACTTCAAAGATTGAGGGCTGCTCGATTCCAAAATGCGGCTGTCGCCCGCGTAAAACATGGAGTTTCGCGGATTCTCATGGTCAACGTGGAAGAAGCGGTGTGTGGAAGGAGTTAGGATTGTGAGGGCGCGACAGTTACGTAGACTGGCGGCGTTGGAGCCTCAGGGATGGTGTTTTGGTACGGTTCCGGATCGTGAATACACAACGTTCATGTTGATTCTTGGCGCTGGACATGGTGTGTTGGCACGATTCAGGGTCTTCAGTTGGTTGCCACCCGAAAAAAATCCCCCTGTGAAGGAGCTCGGAATGAGGGTTGTTTTTCTCAACAGCGTTGGTGAGGTCTTCGGTGTCCACTGGTCCTTTTCCTTCTCCTCTTCCTTACCCTCCACCTCCTCCTCCTCCGCCCTCGTTTCCTCCTCCCTCCTCATTTCCTCCTCTCCTCCTCCTCCTCCTCCTCCTCCTCCTCCTCCTCCTCCTCCTTCTCCTCCTCCTCCTCCTACTCCTCCTCCTCCCCTCCTTGTCCTCCTCCCTCGTTCCTCCCTCACACACTCCCCCTTCCACTTGTGCGTTCTCCTACTCCTCCTCGGTTCTCCTCCTCTTCCTCCTCTGCTCCACTTTCTGCTCCTCTTCCTCTTCCTTTTCCAATACCCCTTTGCTTATAAATAACTCGTTCCTGTCGATCCCGGGGCAAACAGGCGTTTCACCGGAGACTTCAACATTGCTTACGACAGTGAACCATCAACATTCTTCACTCTTCGCATATCCCCGTCAGTTGCCCTTGCGTGCTCGGCGTTCGATTTAGCTTCGTGCACCCACATACCACAGGTATCCCCACCAGTCGCCTACCTGGAGACGATGCCGCCCTTCCTTCCTCCCCTCCCGTTGCACAGAGGACTTTCGCGACGACCAGTCACCTACCTGGAGCTCTGCGCCGTCAGCCGTCAGCGGTTGTCCTGGCACGAACATGGCCCCCAAGCGCGAGCCTGGCCAGTCCGACGGTGAAGTGTAAGGGAGTGGGCCTAGCGCAGACTTCGCTAAACGCGCTCGCTGCCTCGTGCGAAAGCCCTGGCGCAGGTGATTCCACGGGTCGTGCTTGCGAGCAGGAAAGAGGCTCCCCTCCCCGGACGCTCTGTGCCCCAACCCGACGGACGCTCAACCCCGCTGCCCCCTTTGGCTAAGAAAGAGACGGGATACCCGACAGCGCGCGCGCACAACCGGGCGGGCCGGCGGACGCGCCTGGGACGCCGCCCGGCGCCCTGCCCAGCACCGCCGCCGCCCGCGTGGCCGATGTGGAGGTGGCGGTGGGGCCCCCGTACAGGGGGAGACGCGCGGCCGGTGCCTCGACAGAGACCTGGAGGACGCGCTGGGCCCCGCCACGCGCGCTGACTGACCTGGAAACAGAGCAGGCGTTGGAGCAGAAGCCGGGGGCGCCAGACGAGAAGAAGCAGGCGACCGCACACCCGCGCACTCCCTCGACTGACCCTCAAGCCCGTGACGGCGACGCGCGGACGCATACGCTCCATCCTGACACTACCCTCCCCTGCCACAGTGCGAGTCCCAGCGCCGAGGAGCGACAGCACCGCGGCCAGCGAGCGCCGCTGGCGCATCTACCTGGAAACGACTGGACACCGGGTCTGGCCCCGAAAACCGGCTATCTTCCAGCCCCCTCGCCGGCCGCGGGGCGGAACCTGGTGCGCGGCAGCGCCGACGGCTTGGCGGGGTCTGACAAAAAACACACGCACACAACAGGCGGCGAGCAAGGCGGCAGCAGCAGCAGCGCCTGGCACCAGCGAGCCGCCACGCCCGACGGGGCGGGAGGCATGCCGCCCGCCAGTGGCCTGAATCGCTGGATCCCGACATGGAAAAAACACTTTACAACATCAAGATCGAAGGCGTGCAGTGAGACGTTTACGGGGACCCCGGGCAAAACGATCAAGCAACTCTAAGTCACCCTGAGAGCGATGCTCACAGGCGCCAAGCACGCGTTCGTCCAAAAGCACGCTGCGCCCGGCTCCAGAGCAGCACTCGGCCCGCTCCGGCACGACCAGCAAACGTGCATCAGCTTCTTGGACTCCTTCCGCCACCAAAAATGGGACGCGCGGTCCATGGACGACGCGCTGAACCTCGGGGCTGATGGTAAACAGCTGCGCGAGCGGCACCTATGGCGTGGCGATGGCACGGGTAAGGAAGGCGATGCCCCGCCGCGGAGACAGGTGCCTTTGGTACCTTTGGTCCAGGCTGGCAGCCGCGCTCCAGGACGGTCACGAAACGTGGGGAAGGAACGTTCCTGAGCCTGTGCAGTCAGTCTGCCTGTGCTTGCCCCCGCTTGGGGGGCCTCTGACCTGCCCGCTGGAGGGCGCGGACCGGCCGCAACCCGACCGACTGCCGCTTCCTCCTCGCGCAGCAGCTCTTAACCGCGTTGTCGCTGCCCGACTACGCGTTATAGTACCTGGGGACCTGGAGGCCCGTTTGTCTCCTCGGCGTTCGCTAAGCGCGTCCTCCTCGCGTTGACCACGCCCGTCTGTCGGTGTCGCTCACGCTGCTCATACTGGGGCTGCCTGCTTGTTTCTCTATGTCTGCGATGGCCGCAAGGGTTCAATGACTTCGACTTCGACAACAGCAACAACCAGACACTGTCCTAAAAAGTGTTTGGAAGATGCGGGGCTCTTGGAGGGGTCCTGAGGGGTCGCCGAGAGTACTTGGAACCGTCTTGTGGCCCTCTCGGGGCCTCTGAGAGGCTTGATGAAGGCCATCGTGAGCGATCTCGCACTGTCTTGAGGCATCTTGGAGGCGATCCTGGAGCACCAGAGGCCATCTTGGAGCCATCTTGAGCGGAAGCCTGCTCTCTGATGACTCGCGCCCCCTCCCCAAAAAAGCCCTGGGATGGGAGGGGGAAATACCCCTCCTTGGAGGCAAGAGGGGCTCCTCTGGGAGAGTCAAGAAAGATATCGCTAGACCACCTACGCCAAGAGGGCTGGTGGGATTAGAAACGGTTTCACTGATGAGGGGACGGGTGGCTTTCAAAATGTGGCGCTCGCCGCTCTCGCCTTCGCGCCGCGCACATTCGTTTGAAACAAATGCAAGACCTTCACGGATTTAAGGCGTACCGTTTTCAAACTGTGACTATCGCCTGAGCGCCGCGCACTTTCGCTGAGACTACGGCAGAAGCTTTCACGGATTGAGGACTGAGGCCGCGGACATTCGTGTTAAACATTTGCAAAAGTTTCACGGATTCCAATCGCCAGCGTAGCAGAATTTGTGCTTTTGAAATGTTCACGACCGTCAGGGCGCAATAGTTCCGTTGATTCGCGGCATTGGAATCTAAGGGATTGCGTTCTGGCAAAATTCCGGACCGTCAAGACGCAACAGTCATGTTGATTCGTGGCGTTGAGGTCCCGAAAATTGTGATGTGGCACGCTTCAGGGTCTTTAAACGGCTGTCTCCAAACGAGGCAGCTCAATGGGAATAAAACCTTGCAGGTCCTGAGAAGAGGAAGCTTGGAAGGATGGTGTACTCCAACGTAGTTGAAGAGGTCTTGGGTGTCTACTGGTCCTCCTCCTCCTCCTCTTCCCCCTTCTCCGCCCTCCGCCCTCCTCCTCCCCGTCCCCCTCACCCATCCTCCTCCCCCTCCTCCTCCTCCTCCTACTTCTCCTCCTCCAACTCCTCCTCCTCTGTGTCCTCATCATCCCTCCTGGATCGCCTCCCACAGGTCGCTCAGATCCTCCTTGATGTAAAATATCTCGCTGCCGTGGTGCAGGGCCTCGTAGAAGAACTCCTCCCGCAGCTTGCTGGCCTTCCTCACCATGAAGACTGTCTGGTTGCAGGCGAGCTTGTACTTGAGCATCGCGGAATAGTGCTTGCCCGGGACGTGGAACGTGTACTTGTACTTTCGGCGGTGGACAAGCCTCCCTTTAGTAGACCTCCCCTTAGTGAAAACGGCCTGGGACCGAGATCGACGGGCCTGGACCCGCAAAAATGACGGCCGCGACGCCCTCTCGCGAACCGAGAACGGCCAACTCCTAAGTCGACGTGTCAGGGCAGGAGGACGATCCACCCCCGAACATAAAAGAGGCAACGAGCACTTCTCAGAAGGCCAGGGGAGAAGGAGGAGGAGGATGAGGAGGAGGAGGAGGAGGAGGAGAGGAGGAGGAGGAGGAGGAGAGGAGGAGGAGGAGGAGGAGGAGGAGGAGGAGGTACTTAGGAGGTCTGTCCCCCCCCGAGATTTGCACTGCTCGTACAGGCTGACAAAGTTCGAGCGCGCGGCGGTGCCACCGCCGCTCCTGCGGGCGGCTCGGGCCCCGACAGGATACTCTGAGAGTCGGTCTCACCTTGTCCTCCTCGTCCCTCCTAGTCCCTTCCCTCGTCCCTCCTGGTCCCCTCCCTCCCCACTCCCCCCCCCTGGTCTTCCTCCACCTCCCTTTCCCCCCAATCCTCTTCCTCTCCCTCATCCCCATCACTCCCGTCCATACCCCCTCCACGCATCCCCATCAACCTCGATCACTCCTTCCCTTGCTCCTTTCTCGTTTCCCGACCAGTTCCTCGTCGACATCCCTTCCGGCTCGTCCCCTCTCTTCCCTGTGCATCCAGTGTGCTACCACCCTCTTCCTCGTCCCCCCCTCCCCCCCCATCCCACTCCCGCTCCTCCTCGTCCTCTTCTTCCTCCTCCTCCTCCTCCTCCTCCTCCTCCTCCTAACCCCTCCTCGCCTCTCCTCAGGAGGGGGGTGGGATGGCACGAGTCGCATCCTCCCTGCGAGGGGCTGCCCTGAGCCCTGTGCACGCACCCCGCCGTCCCCGTGAGCGTGACGTCGAACCCGTCGGGGGCGGCCTCTGCGAGGAGCGGCCTCGGCAGCGGGGGGGGGAGGGCAGCACGGAGCCGTGGCAGCAGCACGGAGGAGGGCGCCGCCCTGCAACAATGAAGGGGCCCAAGGACACACACACACACACATAAATAGACACAACTAACAGGGTTCCACCCATGTTCCCATATCTGTTGGGTGACCCTCTTCCCCCCACTTCCCATCGTTTCCTCTATTGCCCTGGGGATCGACGATTGATTGCGTCTGTGTGTGATGTTTCCCTCCTGCAGCAACCGCGAACGTCAAAAAACACGGCTTCGAAGGAGAGGCCAGTCCTTGAGAGAAGGGGTCGAGACCTTCGGGGCTCTGCGGTGCGAACAAAAACACGGCAGGACCACACTACGAGAACAACGGGGAGGGCCACAGCTTGCACGTACAGGGAAGGCTTAAAAAAACATGGCATGTTTAAACATATAAGTGTTTTAATGCATGATTAATTCATGAATAAATTAATACATAAACTCATCCTTGTAGTTGTCAATCAACCCTGTATTTTTAATACATGGTCCGCACGCGGAGCATGTATAAAAACCGGCGCTGTACGATAAAAAACACATGGTTTATTAGGAAGCATCGAAGGCAGATTCGCAGAACAGCTCGAGCTCGCACGCCCGTGAGTGGAGGCGTGCAGGGAAGAGACACGCCGAACACTCACGATGGCCGCACTGTCACGCAGAAGAGCGTGCTCCCCCGAAGAGTTCGCTGGTGTCTCCCCCGATGAAGGCCGGGAACTGGGCTCCTACTGAAATTCATCACCCCCGTCAGCCAGGCGTAAGCATGGCAAGGCGCAAAGACATCGGGGATCTTCTAACCCGGGTCAATCCAGACCCCGGTCAGCAGGAAACCAACAGCTGCAATGCAGGAAAAACAAACTGCAACGCAGATCCTCGCAAACCCGGGTCAACCAATAGGCGCGGCCGCCTCGCGGCCACGAACGGCTCCCTAACCCGGGTCAGCCAGAGGGGGTCTTGCAGGATCCTGCAGGATCCGGCGCCGTGGCTGACCCCCGTTTGCACTGACCCCCGTCTCAAGGCTCCCGAAGACACTCTGCCGCACGAGTGCCGGGCCTAAACATCTGTTAGGTATCAGGAACGAGAACGTTCAGTGAGGACTCAGAGGCACAATGCGGATGGACTCCCTGGGCCCCTCGGCATGCTGATGACTGAAAGTGGCAATCATGTAGCGGCTGCATTCCGCCATGTTCAAGAAGAGATCTTGTTCTAAGATACATGTGGGCACATCTTTCGTCGGCTCTGCAGTTCTTAAGGTGCCCCAGATCTCTTCAGAACCCTCTTGATACTAAACATGATCGTGGGACACTCGGTGTCACAGCAGCTGTAGGGAAGAACGAGGACCTTGGGAGGCGTTCAGTGGCTCTTGGAATGTGTTTTGCCTCGGAATGCTCTCCAGCAGCTGCGCCTCGCCGGGTGCGTTCGGGGAGTGCCCTGATCGTCCCGAGCGACCGCCAAGAGTCAAGTCTTGGGCCCAAAGCCGATCCGCCTCGCGTCGCGAAGAAATCGCGACTGGCATGGATTGGGCATTTTGGCTGGTGGGGATGCGCGAGGCGTCAAGAATAGAACGAACTGAGGTCTCTGAGATGTCACTTGTCTCTGACTTCGGCAGGCAGCGGCAACCCCTCGGAACGCATGTTCCAACAGGCCTACCACAAGATCAGGCGCCAGAGCATACGAAGTCGACGTGTGGAGTACACGAGACTCTGACACGTGCACGTTTCCCCGGCGACAGCTGCAAGTAAGATGACCGTCTAGGAAGGAGCGCCTCACTCATGCAGACAACTGCAACATATCACCGCTGCACGCACCAGACGGCTTGCTGCGGACGGCCTTCACACATCGAGGCCTCAACTACGACTGCTGCGCGGTCGGCTACGACTTGCAAACCAGAAGGTGGTCAGCCGCAACAATCTACGCCATACTCCAGCCTCGCCTTCGACTACCAAAAGAAGAGACACGTCCACACGTGCTCGACGCAGTGGTAGAACAGAGAGAGAGGGATAGAGAGAGAAGGAGAGAAAAGAAAAACGGTGGCCAGAGATGAGAAGGCGGATCTGTAAGTGCGAAGCACAACTTAGCCCAATTGAAAAAAGTAGAAGCTGTGCTGCTGCACCTTCACAAGCATCGCTGCTCTACATAAGTGAAGCAATTGCGGCCTCTGGCGGCTGAAAAAGCAATATAAGGGGTCGGACTCGACACAGATCTAAGTACCGTCTCACCGCCCTGGCGGACGCGCGCCTGGGCCTCTGAGGCGCAATCCAAGTGGAAAGCTCGGCCCAACACGCGGGTGCCGACAGGGGGGGCGGGGTGGATAGGAGACACATTGGTGACAGCCCTGTGGAGTGGAGCACTGCCACAGACTGGCGCAATAGGGGGGCATGTACAGGAGCAAGTGCTCCACTGCCCTGCGGGGTTGAGAAAAAGGTGACGCGCACGTGATGCATCGCTATTGGGGCTTACCCCACAACTCATGTGAAGGGGCCCCAGGACACACAAATAAATACACACAAATAAAAAGATGCCCCATATTTTCGTATATTTTCAGGGTTTCTGTCTTCCCCCCCACTTCCCATATTTTCCCATATTTTCTGGGAATCGCCGATTAATTGTGTCTGTGTGTTTTTTCCCCTCCTGAGCTTTTGGGACTTACCCCAGAACCCATGGTCCGGCACTGTACCTACGGGCTACGCCCAGCGCCGCGCCTGCCGGAATTGTCTCGACCAGCGCTGCTGGGATCAGAAGGAAGAGAACAAGGGGGAGCCAACCGTACTCAATCGTCCTCCTGGACCTTGTCTTCCCCGATGTCGACGAGGAATCCCGCCTCGCGGACTTCCACGATCAGCGCGTCGAGCAAGGTCTTGTCGCGCGAATTCTGCGCCCCCACCTTCCTTTCCAGCACCACCAACAACATCCGCATGGACAGGACCGCAAAAACCTTCTCTAGAGTCCGCAGTCCACGAGGCTTGACTCGGCTGCCAGAGTCGACGCAATGCTGGCCAGCAAGCAACTGGAGCGTGCCTGTGGGTAAGCCTAGCGTGATCATCTTCCTCTCGAGGATGGGCAGCATGATGTCGAAGCACTCAGACGTTGTCGCCGCCGCCAAGGTTTTCCTGTGCGACCTCCCGAGGTGAACAGGCCGAGTCGGGTGCGGGCAATGGCAGAATCTGCACCCGTCGCCATTCGTGCACTGGCCCCGCAAGAAGTACAGGCACGGCCGGACACACATCTCGGGATGGCCCCGGCTCCCAGGATTGTAGTTGGCGCCCCCGGCGCTGGCGGCAAGACTGGTCGGCCACTGGTCGCGGAGGTTTACAAACGCGCTGTCGAAACCGTCGTCTTTCACGCATTCCATAATGCCGGCCACACAATGACTGGACTGGTACACGGACGCGCCGTCCATGTGCGGCAAGGTACCCGTCTTCGCCTGCAGAAGCATGTCGGCGACCAAGTGGTTCGTGACTGGCACTTCGTTATGGTCATCCACGTGGGCGACCGACTGTTTCATGTTCTCGTGAATCGTGCTCCTCAAGGCCCGCATTGTCTCGGAGTACATTTCTGGCAACGTTTCCACGACCTGACATGTGGCGTCTTTCAGTGCCCAGCGGCTGAACCCCGCGTCCTCTGGCAAGCTCAGCTGCTCCGCTAGGCTGCTGGTGACATTCGCTGCTGCCGACAAGCGCCGCTCTTCAATGCTCTTCCTCATCGTCTCCAGGCTGTTCGAGGCCCAGGCCTCTTCCATGTGCTTCGACAAGGCAGCAACATGCATTCGGTCGGCGTCGAAGAACGCGCTGTGGCAGGAGCTTGACCCGGTGCAGGGCTCGCTGGAGGGGCGAGGACTCAGCGAGCCCTGGCGTTGGTCGTCGTCCACCTCAATGAATGTGGCCTTCCACATCACTTTCTCGCGGCCCTTCCTGCTCATCGCGCCCCGAAGACGGTCCATCGCGGGGGCCGTGGCGAAGCCACAGTGTGGCTGCTCCGTTGGACTGGCTTCGAGAGCAGAAGCCAGGTCTGAACTGTTCATATCTGAAAGACTGCCCAAGTCGCTCGCAATCGAACCGCTGCACGTTTTGCCGTCGATCTGGACATATCGATAACATTCTTCTTTGTCATGGGCCTCGCCCGAAAAATCGATACTCGGGTCAGCGGATAGGAGCTTCCTCATCGTCTCCCGGCTGTTAGAGGCCCAGGCCTCTTCCATGTGCTTCGACAGGGCAGCAGCGTGCATGCGGTCGGCGTCGAAGAACGCGCTGCGGTAGGAGCTTGACTCGAAGCATGGCTCGCTGCATGGGCGAGGACTCAGCGAGCCCTGGCGTAGGTCGTCGCCCACCTCGATGAATGTGGCCTTCCACATCACCTTCTCACGGCCCTCCCCGCTCACGGCGGCCCCAAGACGCTGCCTCGCCCCGTCTGTGTAGTCACCGCTGGATGCCATCCCAGACGCGAAATCCCGCGACACCCCTTCAGCGGATACGTGTCTCGCCACTGCAACGAACAGCTTGAGCAAGAACGGCTACGGAAATCACGGCGGCACTTGATGTTATGCTACGTTCAGCCTCTGGGAAGCCTTTCCTGGTCCCAAGACCATCAAACAACGACTTGAGATGAACAGCGGGTCCCCAGGAAGTCGTCCAGACCTCTCGTGGTCAACGTTGTGACAAAATTTACGTAAGGCCTCGGGAGCCTGGCTTCGAGGAGCTGGACAATCCACGTCTTGATCAACAGGTGTTTTCAACATGCGGACCACATGGAGAGCGTTCTCGGGTACTGGGACCGTTCAAGAACATTGGTCCAGCGCGTCCCCAGGAAAAGGTCCAGAGGTCTTGCGGGCCGGATTGAAACATCAAGCGATACATTGGAAGTTCGAAGACAAGGGATTGGAGCTTGTGGATGCTTCTGGGCCTATGGGAAGCGCCTCTTGAGGCTTCTCGTCGTCACGGCTGGATTCCCCTCGAATTGTGAGCAGAACGCACCCCAGGATAGTGAGCCTTGAAGTGCACAAAAAGCAGCATCAGAAACATGCCCATGGTACTGTGAAAGCTGCAGGGCAGGGTGACGCGCAGCGCGAGCCAACGTGTCCATCGACGCTGCGCCGCATCACAGGACTGCAGGCAGGGCACCGCCCGAACTTCGGCCGCGCAGCCGGGACGCACTCTTGGCTGCGACGGGGAAAAGGGAGACGGGGGGATGCAGGAGGGAGAGAGTGCGAGGCGGGGATTGCGATGGGGAGCGACAAGGGGGGAGCAGCTCATTAGGCGCCCGAGGTATCGGGGTAAGTCGGGTCCGGGGTAAGTCGGGTTCGGATTCCCGAAACACGAACCCGAGTTAGCCCTGACCCGATATACCCCTGATGATTCTGGGGCTCTGGACGCCCGAACTATCCGGGTTAAGTCGGGTCCGGGGTAAGTCGGGTTCGGATTCCCGAAACACGAACCCGAGTTAGCCCTGACCCGATATACCCCTGATGATTCTGGGGCTCTGGACGCCCGAACTATCCAGGGTAAGTCGGGTCCGGGGTAAGTCGGGTTCGGATTCCCGAAACACGAACCCGAGTTAGCCCTGACCCGAGTTACCCCTGATGATTTTTGGGCTCTGAGCTCAGGCGGGAAGCATCGACCTGGACTCGGCGATACGCTGCCGTAATACATATATATATATATACATATATATATATATATATATATATATATATATACATATATTTCCGTTTTCACGTTCTGCTCACGCGCCAGAGAGAGCATCTCACCGAGGCTCGAAGACTGTAAAACTATTCACCGCCAGAGGCACAGATCTTGCAGTGGCAGGAGGCTGGTAGCCCAACCGCTACCCTGGCCCAGCGAGCGTGGACGGGGACCCGAAGTCATCCCGCCGACGTCCACCAGGCAAGGGCAACGGAGGGGCAACCAACCACCAAGAGCCACAAAAGAGCACCCCAAGAAAGGGTGGAGAGAGGGTGGGGAGCAAAAAAGTCGGACTACGGACACAGAATCAACTGAGTTTCAAATCATCTGATGACTGTGCAAACCACGGCGCTCCCGCCGAACATTGATGGATTATCCCGCAAGCTAAGGAACATCCATTTTCACGTTCTGCTCACGCGCCAGAGAGAGCATCTCACCGAGGCTCGAAGACTGTAAAACTAGTCACCGCCAGAGGCACAGAACTTGCAGTGGCAGGAGGCTGGTAGCCCAACCGCTACCCTGGCCCAGCGAGCGTGGACGGGGACCCGAAGTCATCCCGCCGACGTCCACCAGGCAAGGGCAACGGAGGGGCAACCAACCACCAAGAGCCACAAAAGAGCACCCACACCCGCACCAGAGTAGCGTTCTGGCCGAAGGCTTAAGAGGAGGAGCCTCCGGCACTGATGAGGTGAGACATCATCAGTGAAGCAACGGCCCGAGTGAGCTGGCGAGGATAAGGCTGAGCGCGGAGGGTCCAGAAGGTTCCTGTCGGGTCCTTGCCCCGAAGCTCAACGTGGGGCTTTCCAGTCCTGGAACACACACCGCGGCCAGTGCAAGTTTTTCCAACGGCCGAAAGGTGAGAGCAAGACAGGAGGAGCAGACGGGTGGGCTTAACCCAAAGCTCTCCATATTGACAGAAGTGAAGCACCGTGAACTCAGTGTCATGAGATAATCGAAAATCTAGCATCTGAGGTATGTCCCATAAAAAACTCGTGTTAGGGTTTTCCAACACCGCTGGGACGCCGTGAGCTGCTGCACATCGCAGTAGCACCAGCGAGACCTCTAAAAGACGGTTTCCGTTCTCGACCTTGGCGAGGTCGGAGGGAGGAAGCCCGGGGCGGCCCTCCAGGTGCCAAGGGCCCCGAAGAGGCCCAGGGCCGCGACCGTCGTTTTTTCGGGCCCGAGAAAAAGAAGTGCACGGCGTGCCCAACCAGAGGAAAAGACACCGACCAGAGGCGATGTACGACAGCACGCAGCGCAGGACGTCGTCGTCCAGCAGGTCGCCAGCGGGGCCGTGCTCGATGTCCCAGGTCAGCGCCGGGATGCCCAGCTCCGCGAAGGATTTGGCCAGCCTCCCGCTGCCCGAGAAGACCTCGATCACAAACCCGCCGCCGAGAGACCGCGGCAGGCTCCTGGCGGCCGAAGGGCAGGCTGCCACTCGCCGCGAAGGATGAGCGAGAGGTTGGCCTGCGCCTCCTGGCACCAGCGGCTGGCCTCGGGCGTCAGGGCCTTGTGAAGCCTTTGCACCCTGCCCGCCTTCATGTAGCGGAGCAAGGTGCGATCGTTCGCCCAGCGCCCCCGCTGCTTGACCGCCTGGATCTCCCTCGTCTTCATCAGGAAGTCCCTCGACGCCCCTCCGCGGCGCAGCTGGTGCATCTCGAGGTTCAGCGAGCCCAGGCCCGCCGCGCGGCAAGCCGCCTGAAAGCGGCGCAGCAGCTGCGTCTGGCTGAAACTGAAGAGCCAGACCTCCGCGCCCCCTCCGCGCAAGCCAGCAAGGAGGGCCCCCAAGCCGGGGAAGTCGGGGCTGTCGAGCGGGAGCGTGTCGTCGAACTGGCCGACCTTGGTCGGCTCCTCCCTCTCGAACGGCCGCAGGAGCAGACTCCAGCACGCGAGGGCCACGCCCGCGTTGGCCACCGGCTCGAGGAGGTCGCCTTCGACCACCGTCAGCAGCTCGGACGGGCGCAGGTAGCAGCAGAACATGAGGGCCAGCGCCAGCACCTCCTCGTGAAAACCGTGGAGCGACAGGACGCCCAGGATGCCCGCCAAGAGGCGGAACGGTAGAGGGTCCCTGCTGCCCACAGGCCCCTTCCGATTCCAAGCTCGAAGAACTCGCCGAAACCGAGGAAGGCCGGGCTTGCCGAACCGCTGCACGTCGTGGTCCTCCAGAGCGGCCAGGAGCTTGGTCCCCGCGTCGACCTGCTCGCCGTCCAGGAACAGCAGTTCGGCAAAGTCGCACAGCGCGTCGTCGCAGACTTTCAGGTTGGCCAAGGAGAGACCTTGGCTTCGCCCGAACTCCCAGAACTTGTCGAGCCGCCGACAGTAGCCCCTCCTGACGGGAGTCGACGGGTGAGAGCTCTCCAGCACTGCGCGCTCGCCCCTCAGAGCCTTCAGGGCTGGAATCACGCCCCCGATGGCACGGGCGCGCTTCAACGCCCTCTGACGCTTGAGCACCAGGCGTCGAGCCGACCGACGTGTCTTCTCGGCCAGCACCGTGTCCAGCGGGTCCGCCTCGCGGCGAGGCCGAGGGAGCGGCGCGCCAGCCACCGGGCGGCGCCGAGGGCGCGGCCCAGCCAGGGCAGTCGGACCCGCCGAAGGCACCAGGCGGTTCATGATGACCACGCCCGCCGTCGGCGGAGGCGCTGCCGCCTGGATCGACGGCCCGCCAGCCCCCCTTGCCATCTGCCTGCACCGTCCAGGCCCGAGACGTGGAGCGACGAAGCAAGCGTCGGCCATCGCTGTCAACTGGAAGCTCGAAGTAGCGTGAATCAGGGTCACTCGGGTTCAGCTCTGACGGCACCCACCTGAAGTGGTGCCTGGTGTTGGAGGCCACGCTCAGAGCCAAAAGGCGACGGCAGGCACCCAGAAGACCTCGATGTTTGGCCCTACCCTTCTCGAAAGCCAGGATGGCGGTCATGGAGTCCCCGAGGTGCAGATGAGTCTTACCAAAACTTGAGACCGCCCGTAACTTATGACGCACCGCCAGCAGACCCGCGCGGGCCTCCAGACAGAATATCGGCTCCTCGTCGTTCCAAAAACTCCGAACGACCTTGGTCCAGGTGGGGCCCACTAGGTTCTCCTTCGGGACCTCTCTGAACGACTTGTCCAGCGACCAGAGCGACGACCTGTCACGACAAGGCTTGACGCTTTCGATGCCCCCCCCAGTCCAGCGATAAGAAGTTGTTGTCCCTGGGCGCAACCCGATCGTACACATCCCACTTGAATCGCCACCTTTCCTCCCACTCGCATTCTGAACGAACCTTGGCCGAGTCCCAAGGCGCCGTGACGACCCCTGCCCCACACGTGCTAGCGTCGAAACAGCTCACGATCGGGTCGAAGTCCCTTCCCAGATCTGCGAACGCGAACGAGATGAGACACCCAGCGGCCCAGCGCTCCCTTGCCACCGAAGGCCAGAGACGCACTCGAGAGGTGTAGCTCGAACGAATGAAGTCATAGGCATTGTTAAAGATGGACAAGAACAGCCAATTAGGACCAAAGTGGAAGGTGGTATGGCCCAGAAGTCTCTCAACCTCCTGACCCGACACATACGGAGCACCTGCCAACCAATCCAAGACCGCCTTCAACTTCCACCTCTTCTGCCTTTTTTCCTTGGGCCGTGCTATGCAAGAAGTCGATCTCTAGGCCGAGCGTAAGAGCCCACTTGCTGGCAGACGCGCGCTCGTGAACCCGAAAGCCGACACTCTCGACCCCGTCGAAAACCTGGTTGGCGATCCTATCAGTCTGCGACTTACCTTGGCCAAAGATGCTAATGTTGTCTATGTAGACGTTGTAAGCGGGCCGATCGAGACCAGGAGGAGGCTTACAGGATTCCAGGAAGCTGTCACCCTCGGAGCCCGAGAAACGATGCACCAGGGACGTTGTAGCAGACTGCGCAAAATAACAGGCCCAAGACCACCCCATAGGAACGACCCTGGACTGTGGAAAGATTCTGTCACCTGGAAGAACGGGAACGCCTTCGACATTGTGAATACCAGCCTGAAGAAGTCGCAGACCTGACACGGGCGGCAGGGAAAAATATGGACTCAGGCCTGGTGGAAGCCCGCAGCAATGAAAATAATCCTTCACGTCGCCGAGGGCCACGCACGGGTCCCCGTCACCGCGCGAGTGCAGCAGCCGAGCCACATCAGCCGGCCCTCCCAGCCGAACGTAGGGGCTCTCCCGCATCCTGCGATTACTCGGGCGGCAGTCAAGTATCAATCTCAAAGTGCCAGACTTCTTCTTCGCAAAGAAGGGTGTGACGATGACATGGGACGTGCGGCCGAAGCGAAACAAACCAGACCTGTGACCCCTCATCACGAAGCCGAAGTAAGCGTCAGCGTCGGTCTTAAGCACTGGATCCATGTACGGCTTGACATGCTCCTCGCACTCAGTAATATGGCCCCAATCGTCGGGACCGTGCAAGATCTCCTCTTCGAAGTTAACGAGACATTCTCGGGCCCTGCCCTCCAGCACCGTGGACACGTCGACGGGCTCCGCCCCAAGCTGGGGCATGGAGAGCAGGTCCTTGTCGTAACTCGCGATGGGAAGCTCAGGGCCATCAGCGTAGTCCTGACCTGCGCCGAGCAACTCCACGCGGGCTGCCTCGGCATTAACGATCTCCGGGACGTCAGTCCGATGAAAGTCCAGAAGGTGCTGGAGAGCCGTAGCCTGCGACAGGGCCGGACTCGAAAAGCTTGGAGGCTGGCGCCCACCATGCAACCAATTCAGCGCCTTGACGGAGTCGACGGCGCGGCTCAGAACTGCCTTTTTGCGGTCGAAGCGCTGCTGCAGCCTCCTGCACCGATGCCCCGGCCAGGACGGCGAAGACCATGAAGGAGGTATAGGAAGAGGTAGAAGCTCACGAGGAGCTGCACGGTTGTCGAACATCGGCAGAGATCGACGCTCGACGAAGGCACCCGCGAGGATGCCGAAGGGGTCGAACTCGACCCCCTAGCCCTTGGCGCCCTTGTCCTTGTCCTTCGGGGGCTGACCTTTTCCCCCGAGCCTGGACTCATCGACTGCCTGCCTCTTCTCCTTCAAGATCGCTGCCTTGTCCTTCAGCCTGTTAGCGGTGTAGCTCATGAGCGCCTCAGGAGTGCCCCCCGTGCCCCTCGTCTCGGCCCAGCCCATCATGATGTCGGCTGCGCTGTAGTCCAGATTGCTGGGCGACGAGGCGTGAGCCTCCTCCAGCACGCTCTTGCGCCTCACCAGCAGCTCGGCCCCCGCCAGGTTCGGCAGGTTACACTGATCGATGCACTGCAACGCATTCAGAACCTCGCAGATCAGCTTGTATTCGTGCACCGACCTATCCCCAGGAGGGATGCGAGCCGCCACGGGCCACTCACGGGCCTGGGTCTGCCAGGTCAGCCCCTGAGACCTCAGAGTCTGCGCGGTGCCCAGCGTGATGCGAGGACCCTTCGGGAAGCCATCGAGGCCAGGCTCCTCGAACAACTCCAACACACCGTCGTTGAAGGTGCGATTGCGAACGCCGTGCTCGAAACGGGGCTTCACAATGCGACAATCACTCACCTCCGACGCGTAGAGATCGATCTTGTCATCCCTGAAGCTGCCAACCTTCTGCGTCGGCACCCACTCCACGAAGACAGCCACGGTGTTCCCCGACGGCAGCGTGCAGGTCGACACCGACTTCACGCTCGTGAACGGGCCCGTGGGAGCGATCGGCGCCTCGTCCCCGATCTTCATGGTGCCGCACGGCTCCGCCAAGAGCCACTTCCCCGCGCCTGGGACGCCGATCGCGCCCGCCTGGACCTGCGGCGCCGCGACAGGCTGGCCCCAGCCCAGCAGCTGAGTCTGCACCTCCGCGTTGCCGAGCGCTGCCTGCAAGACCGCCTGAGTCGGGGCAGCCCGAAAGGCGTACACGGGCAAGTGAGGCGGCGCTGGAGGGCGCCCCGCATCATCCAAGAAGGTGACCCCCACGATGTCGGGATCATTACGGTAGTCCTCCTCGTACTCATCCTGATCAGGCGTCGCAATCCAGGCCGAGCCGCCGTTCGGGTGCGCTTTAACCACCAAACGTTCGTGTAAGAACGCCTCCCCCACGAACTCGACCAGCAAGCGTCGCCAACTGCACAGCCCCGCACTTGTCGGCTGTGGCCACCCGTCCAGGCGCATCTGCAGCGGGGGCGCCGCAGGAGGAGCTGGCCCCGGTCCTGGCGGGGGCACCCCGGGCGGCCCCATCAGGGGAGGCAGTCCTCCGACATGCGCCATCGCAGCACCAAGCACAGACGGCCACCGAGGTACAGCAGGCACTCTGCAGGGCGCAGAAGAGGTTGATCCACGAGAAGGGCTCGGATGGAGGACGGCTGTGGAAATGATTCTCGATGTACGTCGGATTGACAGATCCGTTTCCCGAAAGGCCCGAGAGGGAGTCACACGAGCAGTTACAAACACCAGTGTTAACCTCCACATCCACATGAACGGGCTGCATCGCGTGCAGCCAAGTCTGCTTCTCTGATCCCAACATGAACCCCCATAGCGTAGCGACTGCCACATGGAAAGATTTCGGGGGGCCCATACGCTCACAAGAAAACAGCTTGAGCAAAAAAGTCGGACTACGGACGCAGAATCCGCCGACCCCTTGGGGATCATCGGCGTGTGAGATGCTTCCCCCTCCCCAAACCCCTCCCCCGGGAGCCCGGTCCGGTCGATTTGGAGGGGGGGGGGGGGTCCGGCGCGAGCGGGGGGGGTCCGGAACGAGCGACTCACGGGGCTTTTCCGGGCCCAAGAGGGCCTCAAGACGGGCCAAGAAGCCCCCAAGAGGCCTCCAAGACGGCCCACGAAGGCTCCGAGACGCCAAACGACCGGTCCAAGACGCCCACGATGGCCCCAAGACGGGCCAAGAGGTCTCCAAGACGGCCTCCGAGGTCCCAAACAAGCCTCCCAAGAGGGCCCAAAGAGTCTAAAATTGTTGATTTTCCCGAGTGTTTTTCGACGTTTCTTGCTTTCCCGCCTTTCCGGCTTCCCGACGCTCCAAGACGGCCAAAGAGGCCCCAAAGATAGCCCCAAGATGGCCCAAGAGGCCCCCAAGACGGCCTCCAGACGGCCCAAGACGGCCCCAAGACGGCCCAAGAGGTCCCCAAGACGGCCCAAGAGGGCCGATTTGGAGGGGGGGAGGGGGCCGGGACGAGCGCAGCACGGCCGGGACGAGCGGTTCCAGGGCTTTTCCGGGCCCAAGAGGGCCTCAAGACGGGCCAAGAAGCCCCCAAGACGCCTCCAAGACGGCCCACGAAGGCTCCGAGACGCCAGACGACCGCTCCAAGACGCCCACGATGGCCCCAAGACGGGCCCGAGGGTCTCCAAAACGGCCCCCGAGGTCCCAAACAAGCCTCCCAAGAGGGCCCAAAGAGTCTAAAATTGTTGATTTTCCAGAAAGTTTTTCCACGTTTTTTGCTTTTCCGCCTTTCCGGCTTTCCGACGCTCCAAGACGGGCAAAAAGGCTCCAAAGATAGCCCCAAAATGGCCCAAGAGGCCCCCAAGACGGCCTCCAGACGGCCCAAGACGGCCCCAAGACGGCCCAAGAGGTCCCCAAGACGGCCCAAGAGGGCCGACTTGGAGGGGGGGAGGGAGCCGGGACGAGCGCAGCACGGCCGGGACGAGCGGTTCCAGAGCTTTTCCGGGTCGAAGAGGGCCTCAAGACGGGCCAAGAAGCACCCAAGAGGCCTCCAAGACGGCCCACGAAGGCTTCGAGACGCCAAACGACCCCTCCAAGACGCCCAAGATGGCCCCAAGACGGGCCAAGAGGTCTCCAAGACGGCCCCCGAGGTCCCAAACAAGCCTCCCAAGAGCGCCCCAAGAGTCTAAAATTGTTGATTTTCCATCGTGTTTTTCGCCGCTTTTTGTTTTTCCGCCTTCGAAGCTCAATGTCATTTCCTATTCCTCCGCCTCCTCCTCGTCCCCCCTTCTCCTCCCCTTCCTCCTCTTCCTCCTTCTCCTGCTCCGTCTCCTTCGCCCCGCTCTTACGCTCGCAGCGTCACTCGTCCTCCTCCTCCTCCTCCTCATCCTCCTCCTCCCACTCCTCCGAATACCCCAGCCTGCCCAATAACGGATCAGCCCCAGTTTCGAAATCCACAACTTACGTCCAGCATCCGCCGACCCCGCAGAAATCGAGGTGCCGTGGCGCTTCCATCTAGTGAACATGCCTCCAATTTGGCACACCCCGCACGCGGCAACTTGAATGAAAGGCCCCAAAACCCGAGTATACGCGCGGTTCCCCGCGAACATTGGGCACGTCCCTCATAGATTTCGTGGCTCCACGGCGCGCTCCAACCATAGCCCCAGTACCCGCGGTCCCGTAAACTTCCAACCCCAAGCGCACACACACGTCGATCGTGTCGTGGCTCCAGAATACGTCCACCGTGGGGCCCAGTGGGAAGATTCGCATGCAAGTATACCCCATGCCGGCACACCCTTTGCACGCGCCGTGGCCTCGCACATGGCCAAGTTGACCCATAATGACTCCTGGACAGTCCCCAAAAAAAATTCCCGACCGCTACCGAAACGGCTCGAAGACATTCCCGAGCCCAACCTGGCTCCATTATGCCTCTCAGATGGCCCCAGATGAGACCACAACCGCCCGCGGTGTCGCCGTCCGCTCGGACACCCCCGCGGAACTGCCCGAGACCCTCTGGCAGTGGCGGCGAACAGACACCAAACAAATATCACTCGCCTTTTCACCCCTTCGCAGCTTCTACTGCCCCCCGATTGGCATAAACAAGGGGTCGGCGGTGTGGCGTAAGCCTAAGAATCAACTGAGTTTCAAATCATCTGATGACTGTGCAAACCACGGCGCTCCCGCCGAACATTGATGGATTATCCCGCAAGCTAAGGAACATATATATATATATATATATATATATATATACTAGAACCACGCGCGCGCTTCGCGCGCTTAGGTTCTAGCTAGGATCGTCACCGTCGTCATCATGAACATCACCATCGCCATCATTCCCCACGCCAGGGCTAATGTACATCGTTTCTGGATGCTTCTGGCCGGAATACGAAAGGAGTTTCTGTAGTTAGTCTCTGGGGGAAGTCGCGGGGAAGCTTTTGTTGTATTTGGTGTTGCGTCGCCAGGAGGTATGGGCTCCCTCCTCCTCGTGTTCCTACCTCCTCTCTGGACGTCCGATGTCGTGATGCTTTCTGTGCGCGGCCCCTGGACCTCTCGACGACTTCCTGGGGATGTGTGTTTTTTTCATCCTGAGTCGTTTTCTGACGGTCCCGGGACCCTGCGAGGGGCCCCGGAGGCCGAACATTGACCGAAACCGCCGTCGTGATTCTTCCAAGACGTCGGAGGTCCAGGTCGTGCTTCCCGCCTCCCCAGACCTCCAACGTCGTAATTTTTGCGACCTCGGGCCCAGGAATCGATTGGGAAAACGCACATGGCAAGGCAAGAAATGATGGACCCATCATTTCGTACCTGTGCCTTGATCAGTGGGACGGGCTTCGCACCGCCGCACATCACAAGACACGCTCGAGCGGATCCAGCCGTGGCGACGTCGGGGACTGCAGAAGGTCGCAAGGACACGGAATCTGAAAGGAAGAAAGAGAAAGAGAGAGAAAGAGAGGGGAAGAGAGAGAGAGAGAAACAGACAGACAGAGAGCGAAGGAGAGAGAGAGAGAGAGAGAGAGATGGAGAGAGAGAGAGAGAGAAGAAGACACAGAGAGAGAGAGAGGCAGAGAGAGGAAATGGAGAGGAGGCGAGCTTGAGTCAACGAAAGTCGCAGGGAAGGGGGCAGGGGGAAGAAGGCCAGAGAGCGCTGAAGGATACAAATACTGGAACCCTCTTGGGATTTTTTGGGGGGCCTCGTCCGG